TGTGTGTGTGTGTGTGTGTGTGTGTGTATTTGGCAGATACACCGACCATCTCTGTGTGTACGTTTATTTACACACACACATAAGTGCACAAATCGTATACCAGCTCGAATTTCTCATCTCACCGTACTTGAGTTGTTCAGTGCTGCGTCAAACAAGGCAAATGAAACAGAGATTTTGAGTGTTGGTAAGAGTGTGTCTGTGGGGGAGAGAGAGCGAAAGAATTGTCACCTGACTGGCACTGGTCATTTAGGAGGAATAGCAAACTTTCCAAACCTTGCTTTTTAAAACCCAAAGGAACCAAAGCCTACCTCTTCTGCGACGCAGACAGACCCTTTGCATTTTGAACATTTCAAGGATAACTACGATAAGTTTTGTTAACCAGTTCACTTGGTATACAAGACTCTCTCTCTTTTTTTTCTTTTGAAGTAAAATTAAAAGACGATAAATAATAATGTGAAACGGTCTCAGAAAATCCTCCAACTTTTGTCTTCTTCCTTTATAGTCACTAGAGGGTAGAAGATGATCATTTCTTGCCACAGAGGGGAGCCCAGCTCCTGCTCTCCCATATTAAGAGCTTCTGTGACCATCCGAAGCAGTCAAGTTTCCCGGCATGCTTTGGAGAAGCCTGACAAAGCAGTATTTTCTCGTTTATTGATTCTGCTGCTGCACTAAAATACTGGTACTGTACATCAATAACCATCTTTAGTTAGGGAGCTCCGGTCTGTGGAATAAAACTGGCAGTTTGTGGAAGAACATAAAGGCTAGAAAGAAAAATTGTGAGCTTGGGGAATATTGGAGTCTAGGGAGGACAGGAGAGGTTATGGAAGAATGGCCAAAGGAATGAGGAAGGAGAGAAAAAATGTTGACGGCCTGGATAAAGATATCAAAAATATGAAAGGAACAGTGGATCCTGGAGAGCAGTATTTATATCTGTACTGCAGAGTTGTGTCTGACCACAGCTGCTGTATTCTTTTTTTTTCCTTTCTTTTTTTTTTTTTTTTTTTTTTTTATCCCTATCATGGTCGTTTCTAGAATTTTGACTTCAGTGCGCTGGGCTCAGAGACTTAATAAATGCCCAGACCCTCCGTGCCTGTTTAATAAAACCTTTGATGAATAGAGCTCGTTGAATGCTACTCATGATCTTACAGGAGAGATGCGGTTTATATCTTGGTGGAGAATTTCAATTGTCAGGTTAACTTTTCACAGCTTAGAGTTTGCAGGTTTTGGAGAGGAAAGTGATAGAGCTTCTAATTTCGCTTATGAAATTGAGTCACGTGGAAAATCTGGAGGTCCTGTGATTAACCTTCTGGAAAAGTAGTTAAAATGCCCTGATCAACCTATCTTGGTATTTTTAAACTGTCAGCTGCTTTTTTTAGGATTTCTATATTATATTTAAAAATTAGGGGCGCCTGGGTGGTGCAGTCGGTTAAGCGTCTGACTTCAGCCAGGTCACGATCTCGCGGTCCGTGAGTTCGAGCCCCGCGTCAGGCTCTGGGCTGATGGCTCAGAGCCTGGAGCCTGTTTCCGATTCTGTGTCTCCCTCTCTCTCTGCCCCTCCCCCGTTCATGCTCTGTCTCTCTCTGTCCCAAAAATAAATAAAACGTTGAAAAAAAAAATTAGGTAACAGAAGTTTGACATAGAGAAGATTACTCAGCTATGACTATCTAAAATGTTACCAGTCCGAAGTAATATATTATCTGTAAAATGTTGTTGACTTTTTCACCTCAATCTTATTCTTTTAATGGCTTAAGTTTATTTAGATGATTGCTTCTTAAGCCCCGTAAGTTTATAATTTTGCATCCATCCATAGAGGCCAAGGGCGGCAGACTCTCTTGTAAAGTGTTTTCTTACTACGTTGACCTTGACCGTAACGTAGTAAATTTGTAGAGATCGCCTTTAAAAGTAGGTTCAGATTTCTCCCAGAGCCTCTGTTTACCTTTTGATGAGCCTTTTTCACATGAGAATTGAGAATTTGATTTCATAGGGCCTGAATCAGATAACTAGCTCTTTTTAGACATTTATTCTACACAATCTTGGCTGTGAACAGATTTCCAAACCTTCCTCTCTCTTTCTAATGCATGTAACACTTAACAGAGATAGAAAATTAACAGCAGTGACTTCTCTAATATCAGATAGCTTAATGGGGGGGGGATCCCTGCAAATCACTAACTGTATTCAGAAATCTGAGTACGTACATCCACACCTACCTGCTTCCCCTGCACTTTCATTTGGGTTTTTGTAGGTTCTGTGGCTGACCACAGTTCTTTATTTACACTTTTTTTTACTTTAGATGCATTTCCCCTGTGATGAGAACCTTGCGGGGTGGGGGTGGAGGGTTTTCGTGCGATTCCGTTTTCAGAAACAGAAAAAAAAAAGTTTTCCCCACAAAAATATATGCAGGCTCACATAAGCAGATTCTGTGTCAGTTTTAGCCAGTTTGATTTTATCCTCAGTGCACAGGACCCCCGTGCAGGGCTTAGCCCACTTGTAGGGAGAAGCCACCTGGCGGCATGTTAGAGAATGAAGAAGGCACAGGAAGGGCCAGTGGCATCCGTGGTGTCAGGTCAACGCCATCATACCCGCCTGCTCCATGAAACACAAAACCCGGAAGGGTGAGGGCTTTAAGAGGGCCACTGCCTGCCAATGTCACCGGGCTGTCCCCTGGCTGTCAGCATCCCGACCTGAAGCGCCTGCTGCTTATGTCCCCTCCCACACCTCCTACAAGAAGAAAAAAAAAGGTGGGGGGGACTATTTTGCATAGCCCTTCTTTTGACCACTGTTTCATGCAGTTGTGGGTCCGCGATCGGAGGGAAGAGACACGACCTGGGCCAGTGTGGCTTTTTTTTCTTCCGCATGAAATTAGTCGGCCAGTGGTGCCATTTTGGGGGCTGTTCAGCGTCCTCTTCTTCTGTCTTTGTTCCTGTCTGTTATTCCAGGGGCTGATAACCACAGGATACGTTTTCTAGGTTCCCCTGCCAGGTGGCTTCCAGCTGGAATTGGTAGGAGACTACAGGGTGGGAGAATTTCCACGGTCATCTCTCCTTTTGCCTTCTATTTCACGTGGGGTCTTCGGCACGGGCTGCATTTTTCATTTGCCTTTAGACCTGCTATGGCTTCAGGGTGAGCCTGATCCCGGTATTGACTCTTCTTGCCTGGCCAGCCCCGGGTTTGCAGAAGTTCAGCCCTGACGGCGGAAGCCAGCCCTGTGTCTGTTTTCGCAAGCCACGCTGTAACAGCGGTGTGCACCTGTGTAGGCGTCGTCTCTAACTGGCAGTGACAGAGTATTGTAGTTGGGACAGAGACCTAGCGGCCTGAAGCCTAAATTCTTACTCTCTGGACCTTGGCAGGGCAAGTTTGTCTTCCTCCCACTCCAGCCCGAGGAGGGTTAGGCTGTCCTTTTTTGCTGCTTACCTTAGGTATTCTCAGCGTTGCCTCTTTGGTCTCTCGGCCGTCCCGCACCTGTTCTCTGCACGATATTCCCTCCACCTTCAGTCCCAGGAA